GAAGAGGATCGTTCCCCGGAAGTTCATGGCGGGCAATGTGAATGCATTGATAACAGGAGATAGAACTACGATTTTTGGTAATTATTAGTGAATAAAGGTTTTGATTTGCAATATTTATACAACAAATCGATATGTGTATGTATTTACATCAATATGTTTTAAAAAATAAAATAGAATTTGCTAATATTAAGTGATAATATTAGGATTAGTGTGCACAACTAGTTTACATGTTAGGCTAACAGTGCCTTGGTTAAAGAGCCTGTTGCTGTTTATTTATAGCTTTGAATTCTTTAAAACCAATATTATCTTCTTAAACTTGTATGGTAGTCAGGAGCATCACTTTCTAATGTGTATTGATATATTTAGAGGGAGGGGATCTAAAGTAATGCTTTACAATTCAGATTAGATTAATGTCTACCATTTTCTTAAATTCATGGTAGTTTCAGTAATCCCATGGTAATTGAGGACACAAGTTATCTAAATGACTAATGTCATCTTTATGGCTTTCAGAAAGGACAGGAGACCGACAGGTGACTATCAAAGGACTAGCAGCAGCAGCATGATGATGATGATGATGTTAAATGTGTTGTTTTAGGAACATCCATTGAAATACATGGAATTCAATAAATATTGAATAGCATATCATGCAGTTTGTCTGTGCCTTTTCCTCCTTGTTGTCATGGTTTGCTGTGCTGCCTCCTAGTCGCCACCATGGTTTGCTGTGCTGCCTGGGGATGCTCAAATCGCTCAGAGAAAGGAGTACGAATGTACAGCTTCCCCACTGACACAGAGCGGAGGAAGCAGGAGCAATTTCACGACCAACAGCAACAAAATATGTGATTTATATACAAACACTGCATTTGCACTTTTTCACAAAACGAAAACCACACCATTGGGAAAGCTTAATGTTTTGTTTAATACAAAAAACATGCAGGGAAAGGCTTGAAAAACACAGAGTTGAGACTCAGGGTGCAGGGTGAGGGTCTCAGTGCAGGTATTCAGGCTCCATTGAATCCCCCTCTGGTTCTTGTGCTGAAAGAGGGATAAACAGACAGGAGAAAGGGTTATACACACCTATATAGCACACCTATTGGATGGGAAATTGCCTTGAAGAGATAAGGTGTGGTCTTTGTTCCCAACTGAAGTTATGGAACTTTATTATTTGTGAGTTTAACAAAGTGTGACAAATGGCATCAGTAACATATGTGATATGAATTTCTATAAAGTTGTCTCACATTCTTGGTCATATTGTATATACAGTATGTAATGAGTATAACATGTCCAGTAAGTATAAAGTGTTTCCTAATACTGTGTATTCAACCACTATGGAATATGTATGTGGGCAGACAAAACTGAGTTGTTCTGTGTGTGAAGTAACCTCAAGTCACTCCGCAGGCACATTTTGATGCAAACCAGTTTGTCAAGACAAAAAAGGGCAAGACTAGGCTGAGAGCAGAGGCTATACCCACCATCTTCGTGCATCGCCCTGTGGTCAAAAAGAGAAGGGCCCCTGCACCACGATTCACCCCGGGACCTGTATCTACAAAGCCCATAGCTCATGATCACAGCTATAGTGTGAAAGGTGACACAGGTATAATAAGTATGAACTCTTAGTAACAAAAGTAATATTTCTTATTTTTAAGTGGTATAATATTTTAAATGTTCGAACATTTACAGTGCCATGTCTTCTACTTACATTAGTCAAAGATTGAGGGAAGAAGGGAAGGGATCACTGCCCTCCACCTGCCAGAGGAGCGCAAACAACAAAAACAAGCAAGGTGTCCCGTCATGTACCTGGAAGTTTGGGTTGGCAAAATGGAGTAAGAGAGGGACTTGAAAAACCTTGGTGGCTCTCTACTCATGTTGTTACAGTTGTCTTGGTTACAGCTCTCAAGTTTTTTTTTGTGCCATTTCCACATCTTTAGAAAATATGAAAAAATTGAAGTGAAATCAACCTCTTCTCTGGAGAACACACTTTGATTTCTCTGTCTTGTGAGTTTGCAGTCTTGCAGTTTTGCTCCTCCACCTGTAACATCACTGCCCCTCCACCTGCCATACAGTAGGTTACTAACAAGATTACTTATATAATACAGTGATAGAATACATGTGTAGTATGCTTACTTATATAAAACAGCAGTATTAAACTTACCTTGTGTTTTCACTCTCACTTAAGTTCCCTTTGCCATCAATCCAAAATCAGCTGAGCTGCAACATTATACACACAGGTAATAATCAACATAATCACAAGGACACAATATGGCTCTGCTAAAAACACTCACTCTTACACGCACCAAAGTTATATTTATCTAATATGTAACTCCCTCCACCCCCGCATACAATCCCGTTTAGAAGCCCCTCTTCTCTAATTCAACAACGTTGGACCAAATAGACATTAAGAGAACGGAATTTACAATTAAAAGGCTGTTCAACGTGTGTTGCTAACTTGCTTCGGTATCCTAGCTTGATCTGTTATCTGTAAACGTTCCCTAAATCTACTAATTTAGGGATAATCCACTGACATCCTTTAATACACATGTTCAATTGAATCAGATGTACTGATAATATCCGCAATATAAATCTTTAAACTTCTTCTTACCTTTAAAAGTCCGTCACGAACGGTCTATTATGCTGCAACTCTACAGCTCTGCTAGCCTTGGCGCTAACTTCCGGGGAACGATTGAGAGTCTCCACGATCCGCCATTGCTGTAAAAAAGTGGTCCATTGGAGTGAACGGAGATGTCATAACTCTTCTATTATATGGCTCTGGGCCTACCCATAAGTCCGTACCATAGGGTCCGTACCATATACAGTCTGCAGTTTTTGCGTGGCTGTGTCTTAGTTGTAAGCCCAGTGGCGATCTGTTCATCTGTCATTCTGATCATACAGTCAATAACTTTGTTGCTATTAGCATCTGGTTAGCTAGCTATGCTAACGAATATAAGAAGCTTTTTCTCCAACCAGTGAGGTAAAGGCACATCTTTATATGATCATTATAGTTATCAAAAAACAAGAGAATAAAATAAACAGGTATAAAATACTATATGACAGTAAAAAAATGTTGTTATTAATAAACAAGAATACAGTTTGAAAGGAGAGTGATTTGTAAAATATCCATAAAGAAAAAGTAAATCTGCTTACAGTTCTGTTTCATATGGGTGTTGAGAGATGTTTCCAAAGATCTCTTCATTTTGCTCTCAAAGTGCACCAGACTTCAATATTTAAAAAAATCTTCCCGGGGGAGCATGTTCCCCGGACCCCCCTAGAGGAGGTTATGCCCCCCCCCACTTAAATCATGTTCACATGGATAGGAAACTAAATACATTTGCACACAACTTGTGTCCATATCTTTCTGTTTGGTGGTCATGCCACAACCGTGCACGTGCATGCATACGCGAGTCATGGCAAGATATCTGGACTAAGGTTGCTTTTTCTTTGCACACCATGAAAGAAAGTGCTGTGATTTTTAAGCAGAGGTCAATAATTTGTACGGCCCTCGGAGGATGTTGAAAAAATTGAAATGGCCCTTGAGAGGAAAAAGGTTCCCCACCCCTGCACTAATACCACAGTACTGGCAAAACGGGAGGAGCCGAGTGAAATACAAGCGCCCCTCATCCCAATCCACCCACACCGCAGTATTTTTTTCTTTTTTTTACCCAAAGAATATATTGTATATTATCAGGGCTATTAATACTTTTATCGGGTTTATCGGGATGACGTCATAATTCCTAATATCGGACCGATAATTATCGTGCACCACTAGATACAATGCATTTTTAATACTTTACTTTGTCCCTTATTAAACCAAAATAAAAGCTGAAGTCTTCCAATGTTTAATGTTGTCTGAATGCAGCCTTGCAAGAACTTTGTCAAAACAAAATAGTATAAATCTATTATAGATTTATAATCACAGAAGAAGTCAATAGGGCTATTCATTTTGAATGAAGATACGGATTTGTTACTTGATGCAATGCACATATTTCCAAGCGCTACCCGGATCCAGGAAGCTCTCAGCCACAGTATGAAAATAGTTCATTGAAAAAAAAATTAAAAAAGGTTAGGTCTGCTTAAATCACTAAATGCTCATTAAGTCCCTTAAATCACCTGCATGGTTTGTGTTTTGCTTATCATAAAAAAACTTCAACAAAAGTGTAATCCATAAAATAGAACTTGATTAAAAATATAACATACACCTTTTTGCATTAAGGTATTCTCAATTCCCACCAATTGATGTCACATATGATCTATTAACAAAGACCATATTATTAAGATAAGAGCCAATTTATGCAGGTGATGTGTTTTTCTCATTTCATACAGCCACAAAGGAAAGCCTGTCTCTAACACTCAGAGCTTTTATCCACCAAGAGACACTTTGATCAAATAAATGGAATTATCAATGCGCTGTTCTGATGCAGATTGGGCAATCAGTGTATGAAGTCACATTCAAGCCTCCTACGCTAACACAATCAATTTCACTAAACTGATGTGATTCAATTTGATTTTGATGTCCCCTATTTTCTGAAACATGAAAAGGAAAAATGAAGAAAAAAAGATAAAAGCACACACTTGCCTACAAAAAAAAGAAGCACAAACTCCCACTGCTTCCTCCATCGTATACAAACCTTGTCAAAGCTAGCTCTGCACTTGAAACAGAGAAGAAAACTGTATGGCTTCCATAAAGACTATAAAAAGGAGAGTGTTCAAAATGATTTACAGTTTGTAAAAGCAGCAGTAGTTGTTGATAGGACATTGTGCTGATGACTGTCAGGTACTGAAGTCCAGTTTGATGCAGTACAGCCAGTGTGGCCAGGCTCTGCCCATAGTGTGGACGAAGAGATTTACTAAAGAACAATATGGCTGCCAGCCAAGGCACTTAGATCCTGACGAGTGTGTGTGTGTGTGTGTGTGTGTGTGTGTGTGTGTGTGTGTGTGTGTGTGTGTGTGTGTGTGTGTGTGTGTGTGTGTGTGTGTGTGTGTGTGTGTGTGTGTGTGTGTGTGTGTGTGTGAGAGATGCTATCACTCTCTGATGCTAGCAGAGTAGGAGAACTGGGGGAAATGTGCTTGTTGGCCAGGTTCCTCGCAGTCCAAGCTGTGATCTGGAAGAACAAGACCTCACAAGTCAGTGGTACATTCCAGTCAAGAACCCTGAGTGTCACCATGGGAACAGGTTCAGTCATACATACACTTGTCCGGGGGGGTGAGCGTGATGGTCTGCGCTGTGAACTCATCATCAAAGTACCGCGTGTCCGTCTCCGACGTCACCTGCGGTCTGAATAGTGGTGTGAGCTGGCACAGGAAGGGGAGAAGATAAAAAAGGCGATGCTTTATAAGCATGTCAGACATCCAGCAAACATATAGAATACACGTTTTTAATCAATCCAAAGCCAAAGAGATGATTTAAATCTGCTCAGTATTTCTGTACTCAGCAGCACGGTTCAGGATGTGAGCATTTCTTTAACATGCATCAGAGCAGAAATCGGAGTTGATATTGTTACAACCTGATTAAAGTGTCTAAAATCATAGGCAAGTAAATGCTCTGCTTCTGTGACTAAAAAGCCAAGCTCAGTTCCAGAGTGTCTTACCTTTTTCTGTACCACATCCTGCCAGTTGATGGTAATGAAAAACTTGTGACTCATTACTTCTTTGGCATCATTGGGACCGCCACCCAACCTGTCAGTCCAAACAATATCATGTAAGATTTAAGTAGGCAATTCCAAAGTGAAGTGAGAGGAAGAGCCGGGTTCATTACCTCTGTTTGGGGTCCTTCTTCAGCAGGCCGGCCAGGAGTGCCTTGGCCTCTGGAGACAGATTCCTGGGGAAACGGATCTCCTCCATGAGGATGAGCTCAAACAGACGCTCATGGTCCTGGTTGTAGAAAGGCAGGCGGCCACACATCATCTCATACATGACTACACCCAGCCCCCACCAGTCCACCGCCCGTCCATAATCATTGTCTTCTAGGACCTGAGAAACAGACATTTGCCTGATTACAAAGCACAACAATAACAGTGAGAGGTGATTTTGAGTTTTCAGACTAGGAACGGTTTTATATAAATATAAACGTCACTTAACTAATTCATGTTTTGAGTACAGTAGAGTCATGAACTGAGGTGTTCCAATGATACATTTAAGCCTTCAGCTTTTACTCAAAAGTACTGTTTTTTTGCCTCATTTACAATTTACAAAAATTAAACAAGCGACTGCCTGTGTTTCCTGGTCAAGGTCAGGTTCCTTGAACACAACACGAGCGTAACGTGTCATCACATGGTATATGTCACGTCACATACAGGAGTTTAGCACCGGAACGCCTCTCCAGCACTTCAAATTGCAGTACCCATAAGGAGCTGTACACATGCGTATTTTGTGTGAGTGCGCGAGCAAGGGAGAGAGAGAGCACCGGTAACGGGGATTGTTGTTGTTAGCATCTGGTTAGCTAGCTATGCTAACGGATATAAGGAGCTTTTTCTACAACCAGGTGGAAGAGAGCTCTCTCCTGTCAGACTGAGAGGCTCTGATAACCTCAGCTCAGTGAGGTAAAGGCACACCTTTATATGATCATTATAGTTATAACAAAATAAGAGAATACATGAAAAACAGGTGTACTATATGACAGTAAAACAAGAATACAGTTTTAAAAAGGGGAGCGATTTGTAAAATATCCATAAAGAAAAAAAAAAAACTGTTTACAGTTCTGTTTCATATGGGTGTTGAGAGATGTATCCATAGATCTCTTAATTTTGCCCTCGAAGTGCACCAGATTGATGCTTTTAACTTCAATATTAAAAAAAATATCACACCCCACTTAAAGTGGACCTATTATGCTATATTTGAAAAATATATTGTAGGGCCATACCTATACAAAACATGTCTGTGCATTTTTGTTTGCCTCTGCTCATACCCCTCTTTTGCAGCCCTGTTGCAAACAGGCTGATTCTTCTGCTAGCCACGCCCCTTTGTAACATCACGCAGCTTTCCTCTGCTACCGGGAGATCTCAGCTAAATGCTGCGGTGATTAAATGCCATGTTATGCTCCTAACCACTAACCAAGCTTTATTTCTGAAACAGTATGGAGCTCAAACCTTTCTCTCTCGCAGGGTTTACCACAAGGACATTACATTACACATATTCTCTCCAGTAGCCTACAGCGTTAGCTCCATGGTTAGCTCTGAGTGTTAGCATGCTTGCTAATGTAAACACACAGCATATTACTCCCAAAACACGCCGCACATTGTTTCTGATACAGCTCATACAGATGTAGCGCTTCATTTCAGACGCCTACCCGTGCGGGTCCGTGATCGGCACTGGGTGGGCCCCTGCTGAAAAGGAAAACCCCCCCGCAGGATTTGAAACGCCCCCTTGATAAATACATTTAATTATAATGAAACCAGCTGCAATGGATCATGGATCCACCAGGGGGAGCCGTGATTAAAAAGCTGCCACACTGGAACCCATGTGAAATAAACAGCTGATCTACAGGTATCTGATATAGCGGATATTTGTTAAGATCCATATGTCACGGATAGGATCATATTCTGTGCTAAATAAGAGACATGTAATCACTTACTAAACATCTCCATGTTTTTATTTAACAAAATAATGTTTAATTCACGTTGGCGTAAGTACAAAACCATCGCTATGTTTTTAGATCAGGAAATGCATCCAGGCTCAAACAAACGATTTTCAATCATCATCCTCACGATCATTTAATGTATCATATGTTCGCGAGTTGAAATGAATGCACTACATTTAATCCACGTGAGTTTACAACAACAAAAATAATCGCTTTGTTTTTATATCACATCCGACCGGAGGAAAATGCAGCACGGGTCTCACTACCGATCATCCTAATCCCACGGGCAAACAATAATATGTACAGTGTTAATAGTTTACTGTATTATTAGTGTCTAATATTACTGGGGATTTCGGAATGGTAGCCTACTGGATTTTGATTTATTGTATCGGCTTCATATCGCAATATATTCCCGAAGTCTGAAATGCAAAAATGTCCCACATTAGGGCAATTCACCCTACATTTAATCATTCATACAAAATCATATTTCGTTTATTTTTAACGAAATAAATGTGGTGTAATCCACATAATTTACTGTGTTAATTGTTTACTGTAGTATTGTTTAACTTGAAGGTGCCTGATGTGAACATTTCCAGAATAACTCTAGCTTGAATGGCCTTTGTATGTATACAGTAGGCCTACAGTATAGCCCAACCATGTACACCTTCCTTTTTTCCCGTCCAAAGTTTGAATTGGATAAAGGTAATGGTTATCGATGGTGCTTTTATAGCCTATTGTATAATAACTGTGTGATTTATATTGCTTTTCAAATGCATATGGCCACCCATTTACACTGCTCTTCCCGTCAAGAATATGAATAGAACTTAATTAGATCACTTTACATTTCTGCAAATACATTTTTAATCACACACGTCTCCCCACGTCTCCCCGTCCCGAAAATGATAAATAAAATAAAAAGAGGAAACAATTTTCAAGTTCAGTTTTCACCGTTTTATTTAAAATAACTGACATAACAGACACCATACTGTAGGCCTATCTGCTGCGGAAACCAGGACGAGCTATTTCGGGATCTGTTTTCCGGGGGCTCCTCAGTCTCTCATTTACCCGGTTCCTGATCTTATACCACTGGTCAATGTTCAGATTTGGGAACCAATGGGAAACATAGGACTCAATCTTTTTCAACCTCTTGACGGGAAAAAAGGGAGGTGTAAATGGTTGAATGATGAATAAACAGTGAGGAGGGGTACAATATGAATACACTAGATATACACAGCAGCCCAGCCTGTGAGCAGTATGAACACCAATGAGCGCTCAGCTCGAGATACCAGCGAGTCGAGAGAGAGAGAGAATGATATCTGCATTTTCTCTTTTGGTTTGATTAGGACACATCCTGGGGATTGTGTTTACAAACATTGACCAGACCGTTCACCAGCCCCCACCCCCCATGTTGCCCATGCTGTCCTGTGTTGCGAACTCTTTGTTTAAAACGAATTGGCCATCGGAATGTGTGGAGGAATTCTCCCAAGGGTCACATTCCACAGCTCTCCCCCCCCCCACTCCTGTGATCTCCCATCCCCCAGTCTGTAGGTTTGTGTTTGCATATTTCTATGCCGTAATTCCTACTGGTCCTCTCACGCACATACATTCTCCTTACAGTATACATACATAGGCTATATGAGTCCGTGTATCTACGGACCATTTGTTTTTCTTTATTAATAAAGTAAACGGAAGAGCGTCTGAGAGGCGTTTTTGCCCTTTTGCTTGTTACCTTACTAAATGGTCTAATGGTCAGTGGAGCGAGGGGGGAGGCCCGCGAAACTCACGGAAGTGATTTCAAAACAAAAAGCACTCGTTTGCTTGGAACAAAGAAAACGGCCAAGACACACATTGAGTCCAGAAAATGAATGTTATTAAGGGCTGTAAATATAATAAGCCTGTGTCTAAAATTGACAACAGGCTTATTATATTTACAGCCCTTAAGATACACTTTTGTGTTTAACAGCTGACCACTACCATGACATACTTTGTTTTAGTACATTTCGCATGAGAGCAAAATGTATAAATATGAGCATTAAAATATATGAATATGAGAACAAAATGCATGAATGTGTGAGTGACAATATATGAATGTGTGCATTGAAATATGATAATATGAGAGCAAAATGTATGAATGTGTGAGTGTAAATATATACGTGTGTGAGAGTGAAAATGTATGTATGTAAAAGGAGAATATATGTGTGTAAGAGTGAAAATGTATGTATGTAAAAGGAGAATATATGTGTGTAAGAGTGAAAATATGCTGCATTTTGAATGTCCGATAGTCCACCATTTCCACCGGAAATATCAAACATTTAATAAAAGTGAAAAACAATGAACAAGACTTAACGTATTCATCATAATTAATTATATTTTAAATATATTTTTGACTTTGTTTAGAGCAGTGATCTTCTACTATATGAACATTTTGGACCCAAAATCACAAAAAAAACGTAAAACAGATTTTGAAAATGATATTATTTTTCATAGGTAACACAAACATACACAACGAAACCATTTAAAAGCTGGAAATATATACATGGGATGTCACTATGATAATGTGAAAGTTTGATTGAGGTAGCATGGGATTTCATTCTGATAAGGCAAAAGTGTTATTATAAATATAATACAAATATATATATACACATTATGTACAAAAATCAGTTTTTTCTGTCTTTATCTGTGCCACGCTTCATAGCGGTTTCTGTCAACTACGACATAGAGGGCAACATCACAGGCTCCTCCTCCTCCATGTCAAAAAACAAGCTTATAGCTTGACTCACGTTCAGAGTTCTCTTCATTATAGTTGAATCTTCAAAACTCTAAATGTATCTAACTATATCTAAATTCTCAATGTTTGTCTGTCACTTTACTTCAATCGCAGTCTCCCGCCGTCTCCCGCCGCCTGTCTTCGTATATCTTCGTCTCTCTCCATTTCCCGCCGTCTCTCTTCGGTTCCCGCCGTCCCTCTTCGTCTCTTTTCGTCTCGTTTCGTATCACTCCGTTTACCTGATTACCTCACCCCCTCCCTGGTAAATACATCCTGTTGAGCAGGATCTACAGTTTCCAGTCTTTTCCGTTTCGTAAAATGATCAAATACGGCGAAGATATTCAAATATGTGCTTCCATTTTTCATACTTTTGAAATGTATTAACTTTATATCATCGTATCTCCGTGTTTACTGGGTCTTTTTGCATGAAACAAAGACTGGGATATAGTTTCAAGCCAGTACTTTCGACAGAAACACACGGCAACGTTGTCCGGACGCGTCTATCGTTTTTCCAACCCAGTTTAGATTTAACCACGCCCACTTCCGCATTACGCAAGGATCGACGTAGCTCTACGCGATAGCGTCATAGACGCGGCACAATCTGAATCTGACAAGCGAAATACCATC